GGTCGGCAACGGAGGCACGTCACCGGCGGGTCTCGTCTCTGCGCCAGCGACGAGCGGCGACGGCGCCGCAACCAGACCACCCATCCGCGGTGCCAACCACGGCTTGCCTGAACCCGATCGTCTGCTTCGCGTCGGCGTGGCAATCGCAGAATCCGGCAGGTCGACTCCGAGGCTGATCGCCACGGCGTCCAATAGGACCGATTGCACGACGGACCCTTTCGTTGTACCATCCTCGGGCTCGCCGTCGCCGGTACAGCCGGTCTCTGCCAACAGCCGCCCCTCCTCAACTGTCCAACTGGGGCCGGACGACGGAGGCGTCCGGCGGACAAGTTTCGCTGCCACCGCCCTCTCGTCTCCATCCTCCTGTTGGTCAAAGCTGTACTTTACAGGCTTCATTTTGGCCCGTTCATGTTCCGGATCAATCTCCATGTCTACCGATCGAATGGCTCCACTCGCCTGACATGGCGTCGAATCGTCGAGTGCAACGCGAGTCGTTGCCGTCTCCGGTGTCATGGCAACCTGTGAAGCGGCGTTTCGACGCACCGGCACACAAGCCTCAGCATCGTCGGGCTCTCGATGGTCCGGTGAAGCGTCGAGACGACTTGCCTGGTTGACCGAGGCCGACGCTGTAGTCGTCATATTGGACAGGGCAGACTCAGAGGCGGTGATCATGACGACTGTCGTTGGGGTAACTTGAAGACGGTCCAGATTGCCGACGAGTGGACGTGGCAGACCCATTGTCGGCGGAGGGGACACGGGGAATTTGCAGCTTGGACCTGTACTCGAAGCCCGTAGCAACGGTGAGCCGGCCAACGGTGAACCGGAGGCGAAGAAAGAAGAGTCCGCCGGAGACGGTGTTGAGGCGACAGCCGCAGTGCTTGGACAAGCCTTGGAGACGCCGCTGGCCGGAGCATGAAAGAGCCGACCATTCGACGTGGACGTGTAGGAGGCGCTAGTAACAGTTGGGCCGGGAAGTGGACCAATGGAGCGAAGCTTCTCGATCTCGATTGCGCAACGGTGCTTCACAGAGTTGGGCTGACGACCGATTCGACTGCCTGACAAGAGGGCAAAAAAGACGAGAGTAAAGTGGCCGATCTGTTCGGCAAGATACACACAAGAACTTCCATCAACCTGGACTCGAGTAAGGGTGATGCAGTACTGATAAATGCATTTGTCACGAGGCCAGTGTGTAGAAACTAAATTTTGGTGACCCTGGGCGACTTAATCAGGATCTTTTGAAAAGTCTTAAAATCATACTCATTAAGAATACAAAGTGTATACAGTAATTGGTCTTTGATCATCCCTCGAATATAATTTTGTTGTGACAACTTGCATTACGTGTGGAAGTGTCCGAGAAAACCATTCTAAGATGGAACAGAACTGATGACGACTGCTGATCCCGATGGTAAAGTAATTTAATAGTTCCATTCAATATAGCCAATAGCGCAAGAAATTAGTCTAATGGCATTTCTAATTTCAGAACCAGAAGTGCCTACCGAATGAAGCGAAACTATACTTGAGCCATGCAGCTATTATTTAAGATAATAATGAATGATAACTGAATTCTCTGACGTTCTAACGATGCCATTTAATTGCATTTTGGCAAAGCAAAAGGGAATTAGATCATGAGGCCTACTCTACCGGTTGTGGTAAAAATTAACCATCATTTCTTAAACCACATTAAGCCGTCTAGAAGTAGTAAATTCCTATTCTAAAATGACGACTAGTACCGAAACCTACTCATAACAAAAATCCTATTAAAATTGACTACTTTGATGGGGAGACTTTCATTTCGTATGAAAGTGCATGAAGAAGAAGTTGGTTGGTTGATCTCGCCTGTTGTGCTACAGCCGTTTGGTTTCAATACATCATCAAGGCTGGAACTCATTCTTGTGAAATTTTCATGTTAACACTAGGTCTGAAAAGTCGACCAGCTCTATCCTAAATGCTATATACATACGCATAACTTGGTACTTTTTTGAGAATGAACTCCAGCTTTGAAGGTTGCTATCAGAACGGGCCAACATTTTGCCCACCATATGATGGAAATCCTTAAAGCTGGAACTCATTCTCATAAAAGTACCAATTTATGCATATATATATATATATACATATATATAGCCGGTCATTTTTTTAGATCTAGTGTTAACATAAAACTTTTACAAGAATGAGTTCAAACCCTGATGATGTCCATCATCAAGGGAGGACGTCTCGTAGAATGCGTCAAGCTGAACGTCGAAGTAAAGCTCAACGGCTGCAATAAAACTGGAATCAGAAGCCGTCTTATGATGAGATCGACCTTCGAATCCATTCACTATGCACCTTCATACAAAATAAGAATGTCCCAAATAATGTGAACCTAAGAGATTCATAAAAACCCAGTTACCCTTTGTATCTAAATAGAAGTTTGTTTTTCGTTCATAAGTAGGGTTTCGAGATGTATAAGATGTATTCACCCTATTCCGTTTAAAGTGATGAAAGACTGGTGGTAGAATTTTCTCATAATGACATGAGTAGAGCTGACGTGTCCATTCAATTTCACATAGCCTTGCTTTCCCAAAAGGTGTTCTCATCCAGGGCGGACTGCAGCTCCGACTTCGCCTAGTCTCGAAACCCTACTTATGAACGAAAAATAAGTAGTGTAGTCGATTGTCAGTGCAAATATAACTTTGCTTCATCGACAATCCCACAAAAGAATGTGATTAGGGGACATACCTGGCCTTGTGTGAAATTATCATTTGCTCTGTGACCAAAGGGCACTCGTGGCTGTTAGACAGTGGTTAACTTGTCGAGACTACACGCTGAACTGTCATGATCGAGTCCCGTTGGGGGTGTTGACAAGACATAGGTGAGGTCAAAACTGCAGTCCACCCTGGATAAGAATAACTTCTGTGAAAGTATGACTATATGAAATTCAATGGAAAATTTAGCTCTACTCATAGCATTGTGGGCAAATTCAAAAACCTTCTACTATCTCCATTGACTCAAAGGAAATGGGGTGAATATATTTCATACAAATTTGTTTCATCAACAATCCCACTGTAAAGTGTGATAATGTCTCGCCTCGCCTAACCTTCAACTAACTTCTTTTAGCCACATTCCTGGTTGCTGAAATTGCATACAGGAATTGAAAAAAATCGCTACCAACATGCTGGACTGCATGATGGACATCCTCGTACATGTACGCTTTCTCAACTCCTCGAACCAATTGTAGCATACACGCCATAAAAATGCAACCTGCTTCAATCGAACTCGGTGATTTTCTCAATCAGACTTGGTCGCTTGTTAAGCGGAATGTCTTCTTCATTTACGACTCTCTGCGAAAGAGACCTGTCGCCTGAACTCTCCTTGATGCCAGTGTTGAAGAGGCTGACCAATTTACCAATTCCTTCCGCATGTCTTGTCAAACGAAATGAAAGGTATGCCAGCATTCGTCGTGGAAACGATAATAAGAAGCCTCATGGCCAAGGAAACCCATGGTACCAAT